GCTTTCCTAACTTCAGGCGACCATTTATAGTACACACAGACGCATCTGATCGTGCCATATCGGGTGTGTTGGCACAGTGCGAGGCTGATGGAGATGACATTCCGAAGCCATTCGGATTCATCTCAAAGAAGCTGAGTGACACAGAAAGGAGATGGTCTACTATTGAGAAGGAAGCATATGCCATCTACTGGTCAATTACTCAGTTTCAATATTATTTGTTGGCTGCGGAGAAATACACCTTGAAGTGTGATCATAAACCACTACAGTATATATGAGACTTGAGTCAGACGAATGCAAAAATAGCACGTTGGTGGTTAGCGTTGCAGCCCTATAGTTTTGATATTAGCTATATTCGCGGCCAAGAAAATGTCATAGCTGATACACTAAGTCGGATACCAGAAGGCGATCAACAAGAATGCTGTGTGAAAAGCTGTCACAATCTGAAGTCGTCTGCTACTCAAAACGTCGAATACAACCAAGATCTTACTGTCGGGAAAGGTGCGCAGCACGGGGACCTGTTGTTTCAGCAGCTGAAGTACGTAGTAGAGGGCACCGCATCTGTGAATAGTATTCAGTGTGATAGAGTCAGGGAGACAAATTGGTACAGAGATAATATTCGCAACAGGCGTATTAAAGCAGAAGTGTTGCATCTGGAACGAGATGGTCAATGTCGTATATTGGTCCCAGCAGTGGACAAAGTCAGGGAAACAATCATTAGTAAAGTACATGATTTGTGTGGGCATTTTGGGGTAGAAAAAACAAGAGATCGGGTAACGAGCAGATTTGCGACCAGGCAGAAAACCCAAACCCACATGCGAGTGAGGCCACTAGATCAGAGTCAAAGCCGTTTGACAGAGTAACTTTTGATATATTGTCTTTTAATGTGGGTTCCCCCGGAACAGGAAATAGGCATCTGCTAGTAGTACAAGATGCATTCTCCAACTATGCAGAAGCGTACCCAATAAAAGACTGTTCAGCATTAACATTGGCAAAGGTTTTCGTGAACAATTGGATATGCAAGTACTCAGTACCCATGAAGCTACACTTAGATCGAGGTGCAAACTTTACGTCTGCACTCATGACGGAAGTGTATAGTTTGATAGGAATACGCAAAACATATACGCTACCATGGAACCCAGCGAATAATGGCATGTTGGAATGTATGAATCAATCCATCTTGCAACTGCTCGGAGCTTGTGTGAACTCAGAAGGGTCGGATTCGGAGGAGTGGATAAATGTTGCCCTATTTAATTATAACACAGCAATCCACGCGTCTACTAAAAAGTCCCCGTATTAGGTACTATTCGGTCTGGAGCCAAATTTGCCTGTCGAGGTTCTCTATCCATCCCCTAGCCGAAAGCTGCAAACAACAAGTGCCGCGGAGCGACAGCACTCATCTAACGTCTACTGCGGTGACTCTGTGGTGGAGTGGTGGGATTCTAGTAAACCCTATTAGTCCCAAATGTGTTCACATACACGCCGAAACAGTGGAAAGCACATGGATGGTATCAGCGAACCTTCTCAAAGAATGTTCGTTGGGATCGTTATGAAAGTTGCACGAGATGGCGCGTACGTTTAAGTGTCTTCAGATTAAAGATGGAAGCCCTCCATCTACGTAGTAGCAACAACTATTTGCAAGACAGAATAGGTAAGCACTCATCCATTACCTACGCAAGCCTACAGGCTAAAATACAGAGCTGCCACCTGTAACTAATTAACGTAGGCAAAACTACACAGTACCACCACCACATGCACTGGCAGTGGCCACTGGCAGTGGCATTCGTTACATGTAACACACTGACAGTACAAAATGCCATAGAAATTATACGATTTAAGGAGCATAAACATTCTTCAACCAAATTTAGCTTTTGAAATTTCACTGTGACATTGTAGCCTCATACATCCAGGCATGTATAGATTCTACTAGCAAACCCGGCAGTCAAATTCTTTCTAACAGTAAACAAATCCATGTTTAACCCGCATCTTGAGGGTCAAAAGGTTATCTGACACTTACTCTTCGCATGTCAGCAGAAAGTACATTTCATGGTCCTTAAAAATGCCATAAAAATGCAAGGTCACCGCTGAAACAAAAAAGTTTTTCAATCGCTCCGTCAGACCATGTCCTCAGAAAATGTCTAAAATCTGCCCTGTGCCCATTGACCTTTGACCTGTGACCTCAATTTCGCACAGTGATGGCTTTTCCTACCATGATGCTATACATCGACTAGCACGAGCCTATGTCGAGCCGTTTAGATTTGTGCCGCAATTCTGCATTTCCTCCCTATACCTTAAGTTAAGAAGGGAATGTTCCCCCTTCCTTTACACCTATTGACCTTTGACCCCCAGCTTCGACATCCCAACTCGTTTTCGGATTACCGCCCCCCCCCCCCCCACGTCCCGAATATCGTTAACCGTTACTGTCAGCGGTTAAGATTTGTGCCCAACTGTTGACGGACGGACGGACGGACGGCCGGACGGACGGACGGCCGGACAGACGCTCATGCGATTCTACAAGCTGAATCTGACTACGTCAGATGAGCTAAAAACTAATTCAGCGTATGGAAACAGACTGATAACTGCTCTCAGACGTACAAGAATGGAAGTTGTCAGAAACACAGAGGAGCTAGAGAGATTCATTCGCACTGCAAAAGAACAAGGGAGAAAGCGCCATTGAGAATTGGTAGCTATGTCTTTGTGAGAAACAAACTGAAACCTGAAAGAAACTTCAAGCTGCAGTATAAGTGGAATGGTCCTTATAAAGTGTTAGAAAGAAAATCAGACTTGGCTTATGAGATTGATCTGGGAATCAAAATCGTAACAGTGAATTGTAGACATTTGAAAGTGTCTTACACTCAGCCAACAATACAGAGAGATACGGAACGTTTCAAAGTAACTGATCCATTGTTGTTCTACGAGGATGACACGGTACTTATTGAGCCAAATGAGAGCGTGCTAAGTACCTTCGAAGTGGTACAAGAAGAGAGAGAAGTGGTAGAAAGAGAGCAAAGAGACGAAGTGATAGTAGATCCTAATCAGAGGGACAGGAATCAAAATAGAGCCAATGAAAACGTTACAAGATCAGGCCGCATATCTAGAAAACCAAATTATTATGGTCACTGAGAATAGTACACATAGATTAGCTAGCGTAGTACGTATATCACTGATAATCACGTTAATGTTTGTAGACAGTATATTGGAGTTAAATATGTGTACGTATCATGTATTATGTGTATCTCAAGCGTTGTGGAAAATTTTACGTTTTATATAGTGTTTGGAGGAGATGTCATATGGGCATTCCATTGTATGTAAGTTGGCTGATTACGGCGCCATATATCATGCGGCAGGCTCATACGCCAACCCTTCTTCTACACGGGCTCTCAGGGAGAAGTACCACAGAGGGCAGCAACGGAAAGATATATTGTGCCCCCTGACCGTCACTTCCTAAGCCATTGTACCTACCTACTTAAACACGACTGCAGGTTCTTTTCCAAGTCCCGTTTAGTAACTGGAATCACATCTAACACAAAGGAGTCAAGATGATGAAGCAACCCACGATACCAGCAGTACAGGACAACCCAGCCCGCAAGCTGTACTCCGCGTACAAGTGAGACAGTCTCCATATATGGATGCGTTTTACAAACACCACCACTTACGAGTAGTCATCGACATCAGAGCTACTGGAAACATGATAAGGGTGTCTGCTGTGAAAAGACTGGGTGTGGCGATAAAGAATAGTGCTCAATCTGCTCACCAGGCAGCCGGGTCATCCCCGCTTAAAGTCATAGGGGAGGTACACATGACCATCGTTCGTAACGGCACAGAATTCCTGTTCGAAGGATTGGTTGTAGAGTCACTGGACGTAGACGTACTAGCCGGGACACCATTTATGGAGGTGAACGACATAAGTATTTGTCCAGCAAAACGTCAGGTTATACTCGGCGACGGGACCACGTACGTGTATGGTTTCCCTAGTGTATCAGCTCCACGCCATACGATCCGTCGAGCGCAGGTTCTTTGAGCTCCTCCCAACAGCACTACTGTTTGGCAAGGAGAGGTTGTAGAGGTCGAGCTTCCGGGAGAGCTGTCATGCTCCGACTCCAGCTTCGCCCTTGAGCAACGAGTTAATGCTCCTAGCATAAGATACACGAAAGCCTCCCAGCTTTGGCCTTCCCAGAAATCTTGTCGAGCATTGCAGGAAGGATCCGTGTCCCGAACCTCACAGACACACATAAGAGCCTCAAACGTAATGAGCAGTTTTGACAGTGTTCAGACGTCCTGAAGACAGGAGTAACAGCTGAATATTTGAACCCATCGTTCCTTGTGAAGAAGGCAAGCGGTGGTTTTCGACTAGTTACGGCATTCACAGAAGTCGGCAGATACAGCAAGCCACAACCCTCTCTACTACCTGATGTTGATGCCATACTCTGCCAGATCGTCCAGTGGAAATATATAATCGCCACTGACCTAACTAAGGCGTTCTACCAAATACCCTTGACTGTAGCCAGATTGAACTCACGTGTTCGTGGACGTGGTTTGTCGGCCAGGGAGATGTGGACACGAGACCAGTTCTCCAATTACCGACTCTCAGTGTCAGATCATATGTTTATCTTAAAGCAATAGGAAAATCCCAATCACAGCTACAGTGAAAAGTCAAAGGCACCCAACAGGATAGAGGCGCCTCTCTCCGACGTAGTTGTGGGCTCCCCAGCTTGAACAGAATGTCTATGCCAAACGAAAAATGTTAAAACACGGATTCTTTGCTTTAGTTTACATGAGCGCAATTTTAAACAAAAACAGTATTCAGCAATAGCTGATAAAACACGAATATCTCAAACATGATACAAAAAGTAAACCTCAGTCTTTTTGCACAGTCCTTAAATTGAAAAGAACTCCGTTTGTATATACATGAGGTTTATAGTTTCCAAAAGTCAGATAAATTCTAACAACGATTAATCTCAGGGTCAGGGTGGATTGCCTTTCCCTGTAGCATGAAACTAGTTCTACTTCATGATGAAGTCCTTGAATCTCTCCGGAAGCCGACGCTCTAGCTGCGGTCTACCTTGCACCTCAGGTAGCCCTGGAGCATGCTGGACCACAGTGTCCCTCGGCGGATCGTCTGGTCTGGGGTATTGTTGCGGACCCAGCTCTTCCTCCTCCTCATCAGACGACGTCGGGACGTCTTCTGGACGTGTGTGGGAGCGTTTGAAACGAAACGAGTTTCTGGTGACTGTCGTACCATGACATTCTGCTGTCACCATCGATCCATTTCTCTTGGTAACGATGAGGGGTTTCGGATCAAACGGGGGTCACACTTTCTCATTCCCTCTCTCTTCATAAGCACAGGTTCACCAATTTTTATACAAGATTCTCTGACGTATGCCTTGCGATCCGCGTACACCTTCATCCTTGCTTTGGACTCGCTGTCCTTCTGACGGATGTTGTGCTGCGGTTGCTCGTACGCGATCCGGGGTAGGGTTGTTTTGATAGCCCTTCCGAACATCAGCGTAGCTGGAGGTATGCCAGTGCTGCTGTAAGGAGTTGCTCGATAGCTAAGCAGAAAGCTGTGCAGCTCCTGGTTCCAGCTGTTCCCTTCCGCTACGGTAGCTTTAATGGACTTCTTTACCGTCTTCATAAAGCGATCTGCCTCGGCGTTTGCAAGCGGCCACAGGGGAGTAATCTTACAATACTTGAAGCCTTTGTGCCGTGCGTAGTCAGAGAATGCGCTGCTGTTGAAGGGGGGTCCGTTATCCGACTTGACCACATCGGGTACACCGAATTCTCCAATGATCTTGTCAAGGACAGGGATGACAGCATTGGCTGTGAGAGAGGACACTGGTTCCTCTACGACGTAGCGTGATAAGTCGTCGGAGATAACCATAAAATACGTACCCATGCCAGGTACCTGTCCAAAATCAGTGCTGATCTCTGACCATAGACGTTCAGGCAGTGCCGACATTTTTAGGGGTTCCCGTGTTTGGGTGGGTGTCACTACCGGTCTATACCGCTGAACCACACTTTCTCACGTACGAGTGCCTTCGTCTTGACCATGCCTTGATGACCAACGTGTGCCAGCTCGATAGCGCGTTGTTGCAGTTCAAGTGGTACAACAATTCGTGTGCCACGTAGAATCAAGTTGCCGGATTCGGTCACAGACAGTTCCCCTCGGACTTTGTGAATTTGATCGAATGATGCCGTGTTAACATCAGGTCGTTGTCTCGCGATCTCCCATTTGCCAAAACGGATGGCGTGAATTACAGCTTGCAGGGTCGCATCACGTTCGGTGCAGTTGTGGAGTTTAATAAGGGTCATTGCTTTGGGGGCAGAGGTAGCAGCAATGTGGTTGATGTACTCCTCCATAACCCTCTCCTCTCTCCTAGAGCACTCAGTGACGGTATGTGTGTGTCTGGACAGGTAATCTGCTGGATTGTCCTTTCTGCTTCGATGCTTCAGCTCGATCTCGTATGGCTGGAGTCTAAGTGTCCAACGTTCGATACGTGCCAGAGGCTTTGACCGCGGATTGTTGTACAGCAGCACCAGTAGTTTGTGGTCGATGTATATGGTTACTGGACTTCCCATAACGTAGATGTGAAGGTGTTCACAGGCCCATACTACAGCCAGGGCTTCGCGCTCTGTTTGGCTGTAACGCTGTTCAACTGGTGTGAGCGCTCTGCTGGCATACTGTACAGTGTGACGCATGCCGTCTTTCTCTGCCTGCATCAGAATAGCGCAGAGAACTACAGGACTGGCATCGACGTGCAGTTCAGTTGCCAATGAGGGATCGAAGTACCGCAGTACTGGCGCTTGTGTCAGTGCGGTCTTCAGCGCATTGAATGCTGCTTGATGTTCTGATAACCATTGCCACGGGATGTCTTTCTTGGTCAGTTCTCGGAGGTCGTTCGTGATTGTTGCGTAGTCGTGGACGAATCTGGACCCGCAGTAGTTTGACATTCCGAGGAGACTACGGATCTCAGACGCAGACTTTGGCGGTTATATCTCCAGAATTGCTTGGATTTTCGATGGATCAGCGGCAAGACCTGCGTTTGAAAAGATGTGACCGAAGAATTCAAATGGTTTGTTGAACTCGCACTTCTTCTTGGAGAGAGTGAGCCCTTTTTCCCTCAGACGTTGGAATGCTGCTCGGAGATTCTCGTCATGTGCCGTTTGGTCAGTTCCGAAAACGAGCATGTTATCGCTCAGGTTGATGCCACCCTTAAGACCGGCTAGGGCTTGTCTGATGGCTTCTTGAAAAACCTCGGCAGCGCTACAGATGCCGAAATTCAACCTGGTGAATTGCCTCAGGCCGACGTGTGTGGCGAACTTTGTAATGTACCGTGATGCCTCGTCGAGTTCTAGCTGGTTATAGCCTTGATTTAGGTCTAGCTTAGAAAACACTGTCGCACCGTTGAGGTCGTTCACAAGCTCGTTGATTGTAGGCGTTGAGTGGCGTTCCCTTTTTATTGCCATGTTTGCACATCGCATATCGATGCACACCCGGAGCTTTCCGTTTTTCTTTGTGACACAGACCACTGGAGAGACCCACGGTGTCGGGCCGGTAGGTCGTTGAAGTACTCCGAGGTCTTCATCTGCTTGAAGTTGAGCTTCAAGGTCTTTGCGCACGTGAAATGGAAAGCGTCGATGTGTCTGTGCTACAGGTTGGACGGTTTCATCAATGTGTAGGTGCACGTTATAGTCCTTCAGCTTACCCAGAACAGTGAACAGATCGCTATATTCACTCACTAGTTGTTCTGCATTGCGTCTCCCAATGGCGTTCACCAGTGAAGCTTGAGTTGACGTAATGTCTGCCAACTGAGAAGTGAGGCGCTTCCGTTGCGTACTACGGTGAGTGTTGCATCACATGACCTGATCTTGTATGTCAGGCACGATGTGAACTCCCCAAGCGTTTGCAGTGGTGTCGTCTCGCCATACGCGTATATCCTTACTGAAGAACGTTGTAGCGGCGGCGGACTTTGCATGGAGCAGTAGTGTTCCTCAGAGAGCAGGTTGACGCTTGCTCCCGAGTCAGCCATCATTGTCATGTGGTTGTTGCCAATACATCGATTGATGTCAAAATGTTGTGAGGTGGCTTGACCTTCCATGTTCACCCTGTAGGTGTACTCGGTGTCTTCTACCTCCTCTACTTGGTGCACTCTTGACGTTGACAAACATACAGCAGCAAAATGGTTTTGCTTACCACAACTTCTACAGGCTTGACCCCATGCCAGACATTTCTTGATTCTACCTTGGTGTGGCCACTGACCTCCACATTTCCGGCACTTCTTAGTGGTGCTGTTTGGAGCTGGTTTTGGATGCGAGATGGCGAGTGGTGAAATTCCTGGCAGGCTGTTTGTGGACATGCTGTTTTGACTTTGATGCGAACGTTGGTTTGTTCCGGCTTAGAAGATTCACCCCTTGACTCTTGATCGCCTTGGAGTGTGCATGTGTGACTTCCAGGTTGCGAGCGTATTGCAATAGCTTGTCTAATGTTACGTCCGGATCACTGAGTCCCTTGTCACGCACCTTGTCTAGCCGACAACCCATGATGATCTGTGATTTCACCTCTGCATTAGGCTCCGCGAACTGACAGGTTTCTGCCAGTTATTTGAGGATACAGTAACAATCTTCTATGTTGGGTGTATCCTGGACAGTTTTCATAAAGAGGTATCTATGAAATTCAATGTTGGCTCGCGGGTTAAAGGCTTCCTTTAGTGATGAAAAATAGTTACATATATCAAATGAACTATGTTTTGTACAACTACTAAGAAATTTACAGGTTGAATGGTTTACGGATGTATGAGAAAAACGCATTTTTTGATTAACACAATGTTAAGAATTTGCGGGAACGCAAAGGCGCCACCTACTTTGGCGCGTGACGTAGTGTGACGTCAGACCAGGCACTCTCGCTTGTTTACCTGTTGCCAAGCGTGTACAATGGAGCCTGTACAATGTACAATGTGAACACCGATGATTCCGAGTCGTCACTAGACTAATATCAGTTTTGTACGATACGGATGAGCAGTCAATCAGCATTGTATAAAGATGAAAATGAAGTAGACATAGACAATGAAGTTGAACATGTTGAAGATAGTTGTATTCAGCTGCGTACATGTTTGAACCGTTGGCCAACGATTACCCTAGCCCGACCAGGCTGTGCGACGGATATTGTCTATACAACGGACGGAATGGATGTTCTAACCCTAGCAATACCGTTTCTTGGAGCTCTGATTACCCAGGCATCGTTTAAGGCAACCGTGCCAAGGCAATGTGCGATGCCTTGTTCAAATTCGTTGCCAATGTTCAAGGCAACGTCGAACCAGCAGAAGGAAGACTGCTGAATGGAAGTGTCGCTGAATGGTGAGTTTAGCTGAGTATTTCATTGTAGGTACTAGGTGTACATAATGAAATGTTTTTGCTTTCGGTACAAGCTAAATAGCTAGGCCTAGCCAAGTTTTTTCCAACAGATTATGCAACTGTCAGATTTCCCATTCTTCAGTACTGACTCATTTTCTAAAGAGAGTAGCCTCAGTACTACAGTAGGCCTGACTAAAGAAAAGCAAAGTTGACAATAGTCAGTAGTAAATGTTTTAGCGTAGTGGAAATTATGACAGGACTTAATACGTATAATTTATGCACTTGATAATAGTAACAATGTTATTTCACGTGTAATGTGCATTTAGTACTTGTATCGTAAGAAATTCAGTGTATACAGTACGAGTATAATAATCAATATATGCGTGTAGTGTTTAACCCTGAGGTCAGCTGTAACGTAAACTAACCGCGGTCCACGAACAAACAGAAAGTAGAACAAAAACGTATTGCGTATACACTGTGAGCAGATTGGCATGAGCTGAGTAAAGCAGCATATGAAGATGGTTGGAACCGATTTTATTGTCTGAGTATTAATGTGGTTTAATCCGGTAGTAAAGTCTACAATGCATATATGTATATATATATCATGCTCATGATAATTAATATGGCAGTTGGATGTTTATGCCCAATATAAGTTACAGCCGATGATAGCTTTGTGCTCATGCACTGATGCAGGCTTTGTGTGCGGTGCAACGCGTTAAGAACCTGGTCTCACGTCACAGCCGTTTTCCCGCCAGGTGGCCGGTTTGGCAGAAGATTTGATTTTCAACATTCATAGACCCAACATAAAGACGTGTTTTAAATATCACAGAGGCAACTAAAAAACATACGAATGCTTTGGTTATTTACGTTATGATACTAGCATAATAGACAGTTTATAGATATCACTAAAAGAGGCCTTTAAAATAAGCAGTGATGGCAGCAGTTACTCGCCCGTAACCGTCCTGACCTGGCACAGCTGTTTGATTCTCCGATCCTGGAATTTCCGGGATAGGCTCCAATAACTGCTGATCGAAGCTGTCTACGATGTCGTTGAGGTTGGAACCACCGTACATGAGCAGTAATCCCTTCTTTTGCAGAGCGTTAACTATGCCACAGCCGTTGAAAACGTTACATTCCAATCTACGCAGCCATTTCGTCCATCGGACATTTTTGCCTTCGGATCGGCAATCAAACGGCTCGTACGGAGGCGGTTGTAGCTGAATTGCTGCCATTTTCACTCACATGCTTCCTTATTGATCGTTTGATCCTCGTCGCCAATGTAATGTTCTTATGATTGTTGATCGTTGATATTAAACCATAATTGAAATCAGAAGATTGTAACAAATCATTTCTGTGTAATCCTTCCCGCTGCTTTCTGCCCTTTTATTTTCCTATTCCGGATGTCCGCTCGCGCATGCATTACATTGCACAAATAGAGTGAGCACCGATACATTTAGTTCCGATACAAAACGTAAACAATAAGGCTGGACATCACAGCCGACGATACCGTGCATACCACCAGCTTTATCCCTACCTGCGAGGGATAAGGGTCAGTCTAGGTATTATGAAAATGATATACTAGCCACCCCCTTTGCACCAGCACAAGAACACTTCACTCCTCATGAAGTTGAGTCCACGGACCAGGTATCACAAAAGGCGTCACCAAGCAAGTGTTCCCAACAACCACCTGCACAACCACGTGGGCCACAGAGACCCAGTAGAAATTGCTGTCAACCTGCTAGATTTGCTGATTATGTGATGAGCTAACAGAGAAATACAGGAGTATTCTCATTAGGGGCAGAGTAATCCCCTACTCCAGGGCTTGAAGGTAGTCCACTCCAGTGATAGCCACCTGTATATAGACATGTTGTGCTTATAAGTTAGTTTAAATCGTAACCTTGTCTCAGTTTCTCGTGCTTCGTACACACATAATTCCCAGCCACGGATTGCATTTTTAGTTTTACTCAAGTGTTATACGTTGTTTCACGGTTTGGACTCGTTCTGACCACGTTTGACGTAGTGACTGTGTGTTTACTGTTAAACATTGAGAAGAATAGAACAGACAAGAAAAAAAAGAGTTGCACCCCCCAGTACAGTGCATTTAGCCTTGTACGGAGTTCTATATAATAGTATACGTTATGTGCTGCTAGATGGCAGCACCTTCTAAGAATGCGCCGGTTAGAGTTCGACACGCTCTCTGTGTCTAGCGTGACACACAGCCATGTTGTGCCAGTTACTTTCTCTCCTAATAAAGTTGGAGAATTGAATCGTTACTTTGGACTTGGCGTCTTGATTGATGTGGGAAGTGGTTTCTCATGGCGCTAATATAAACATTACAAATATTATTTCATGGAAAGGATATGTTTAATTATATATTATTATTATTATTATTAATATTATTTATAATGTATAGTGCCAAGGCATGTGATTAGCATGCATGTGGCAACAAGGGCTATATATAGTACTAGAGCCAGCTCGAGTCAATGTCATACGTATCAAGAGTAGATAATAACACAAGAGTGCGGCACCCGATTCCCGCATTTTTAACCGATTTTTCTCATCAAAATTTGCCACCAATAAAGAAGGAAGTGTGTTATTATCTACTCTTGACTCTAGATAATGAGGCAACA